ACCAGTGAAGTGGCTACATACTTAAACATACTGGCTAGAGTACTTGGCATCTTTGAGTCTTCAGATGAAATAGTTGGGCAAATCCTTTGTAAGCTCTGGGATGCTCTAAACGGGTAAGTGATTATTATTCTTACAATACACACTCAAGTGATACCCATAGTTCAAAGCTCAATTGAAAGAAGGCTGGCTAAGAGGGCCTCCTTCCCAACATTTGAGTTTCATATTTTCTTTCTGGCACACACTGGGAGCCCTTGTCAGGTAGGCAAATGAGCAAAGTTAGCAACTGCTCACACAGCTTGAACTGAGAGGCTCAGATCGAGCTTCCTGCTCATCATTCCAACTGCCCACAGTCTGCCACCTGGGCTCAGGGCCACCAGGCTGTACCTACTCTATTCCACGATGTTCCCAGAGCCATTTTAGACACATTCACATTCATCATAATCTACTGATTAAAAGATTCAATGCTATTTCATTACCTGTAAGATAAAATTCTAAAACCTCAACATAGCATATAAAGCCTTTGAAAAATACAGCTTCTACTTATTTCTGCAGTTCCATCTCCTCTGTGATTATTGCCCACTCTTCCATAACAAAATTCTAGGCTCTTGTTTGTAGACTTTCATTCTCAAATTCCACATTTACTCAGTACATATTTAATGCATGCTGATTCAAGAGTGTCAGGCACTGTTCTCAGTACCTGGGATACATGGGTAATTAAGATGGAGCCTACTCTGTAGGAGGAAACACATGATAAACATTATAGTCTAGTAGAAATTGATGAGAATTATAGGAAAAATGAGGGTGAGACAGGGACAATTCAATGTTCTGGGAATGAGAATGGGGACTGCATTGTATACAGCACAGGCCTCTCTGTAAGCGTAAGGGAATGTTTCAAGTCTGCAGCATTATTGCAACAATAGCTATCTGAGGTAGGGAGCAAGCTTGCCAACATCTTGGAGAACAGCTTTCTAAGCAGAGACAATGGCTATCTCAAAGGTCTTGAGACAGGAAGGGGTTATTGTGTTTAAGAAACAGCTGAAAGGCTGACCTGCTTGGATGCATCAAAAAATTAAAGAGCACAGGAGCTTGGGAGAGGGTGGGCAGTGGGACCAGGGCTTTGGCTTTGATTCTGAGTGAAATGGACAGCAACTGGAGGGTTTTGTTCAGGTTAAGTGACAGGCCCTGACTTATATTTTCAAGGGATCACTGTGACTGCAGTGCCTTAGACAGGTTGATGAGTAGAAGTGGGGCGATCAGTTTGAAAGGCACTGCAGGGGCTGGGGCTGTAGCTCAGTGGCCTGCCTTGCAGTGTGAGGCACTGGGTTCGATCCTCAGCACCACATAAAAATAAACAAATAAAATAAAGGCATGCTGAAAGGCTCTGCAATCATCAGGAGAGGGGATTGTGGTTTGGACCAAGGTAGCAGTAGTGCAGGTGTAAGAGGCAGCCGGATTAAGGATCTATTTTAAAAACACAGCCTGTGGGATTTGAATGCAGAGTTTTGAATCTCCAAAGGAAAGAAGACGGGTACAGAAAATAAATCAGCAAGGAGAAGGGGAAAGTGTAGTCACAGGAAATAAAAACTCAATAGAGGGCTGGGGATGTGGCTCAAGCGGTAACGCACTCGCCTGGCATGCGGATGGCGCTGGGTTCGATCCTCAGCACCACATACAAATAAAGATGTTGTGTCTGCCGAAAACTAAAAAATAAATATTAAAAAATTCTCTCTCTCTCTCTCTCAAAAAAAAAAAAAAAGAAAAGAAAAAGAAAAGAAAACTCAATAGAGGGCAGCCTCCCAGAACCCATGGGAAGAAAGTGCTTCTAAAAAGATCCAGTGATCTATTTTATTACATGCTCCTGATAAATTAACTAGGATGAGTTGGAGTTGGATTTAGCAATGCAGAGGACTTTGGGAACCTTGAGAAGAACAGTTTGGGTGGAGTGCTTGAGGCCTGAATGGTGATAAAGAGGAGAAAATGGGAGAGGAGTGAAGATTGTGAGACCAGACAGCCCTTCGGAGCCTGTTTTGCTCTGAAGGAAGCAGAGGAATAAGGCAGCAGTTGGAGGCCTGAGTGGGGTCAATGGAGGGTTCCGTGAACACACCAGGCAGTCTATGAGGTGCAGTCTTCCCTGAGATGACCTGCTCCTTGAGTCCACCTGGAGAACTCCTTATTCTGGAGGGGCCCACTTAGGTATATGTATGCTGAGCTTTGTCCTGTTTGCATGGATTCATGCCTATTTTGGAATAGCTGCTAGCCAATGAACTCATCAGTGAGCAATGAGCAAGCCTGATAAGATCTGGGCCTTCCTGGAGGTTATGTTCCAATGGGGAAGCAAAGAATCAAGTGAATACCTAAAGAAAGAAGGTAATTGGTTAATGCAGATGATAACTGTTGCGCAAGCCATAGACTAGGTGGTGTGGTAGAACTTGAAATGTGGTGGTCATGGACTGTCTCTCTAGGGCGATGGTCACTAAACTGAAAAACCTGAAGGATACTGCCATGGACTGAATGTTTTTGTCTACTCCCTCTCCCCAAATTCATATATTCAAGCCCTAATCCCCGCTGTAATGGTATTTGGAGATAGGGACTTTGAAAGGTAATTAGGTCATAATGAAATAGGATTAACCCATTTATAAGAAGCAGCACAAGAAAGATGATTTCTTTCTGTGTTACATGAAGATACAGCAAAGTATAAACCAGGAAGAGAGCTGTCACCAAGTTTCATCAATCTGTCCCCTTTGGTGTTGGACTTTCCAATCTTCAGAACTCAGAGAAATCAATTTTTGTTGTTGAAGCCACCCAATGTGTGGTATTTTTGTTATAGCAGTTTGAATTGATGAAGACGGGTAAGGAGGAGCCTGTCTCAGGAAAGGCCAGAAAATTTTTGCAGTGGAGGAAACTATCTCCAAAGACAGAGGACTGACGGTAGGAAGGGCTAGAATGGAGGAAGAAGGGATCTTATGCAGCTGGAGGGGCCAGAGCAGGGAAGGGAGAGTGTATGCATATAGACAGCAGATGATGTGAGGCTTAGCAGGCGCGAGTTAGAGAAGTTTTTTCAGTGTGATGAGGTTTTAACATGGGATGCTACTCAAGAGCAATGGAGAGAGGAGAGTGGCTTTGCTGAGCGGCGGAGATATAGATGGTGAGAAGTGCATGGCTAGATGTCCTTTGGAGGTAAACCAGCTGATAGGATGTGAGAAAAAAAAATCAAGAAATGGAAGATATGGTATGATTAACTAGGAAGGAAAGATCTGTGGAAGAGGGAGCATTTAGGGTGGGGTGGGGGAGGAAGTGGGGAGTGGGGATGAAGAACTGGTCAGAAAACAAGAGAGCAGAGTCAGGGAAACTTTGAGATAAAAGTGTTTCAAGAAGTTGGAAACAGCCAACCAGATAAAATGCAAAGAATTGAGACTGGGAGAGCAGTCTTAGCACTCACTCCCCCGTTGTCCTGACAGCCGGTCTAACAGTAATTATTTTCTTTCTCCTTCATGATGTGCTGAGTTGCTGGAGGGTTTGGCCTCCTTTTGCATTCACCTTTATTTCCTGGAGCTCCACAGAGCTCTCCCCTTCAGAGCAGGGGAGATTTTTCCAACAGTTCCTGAATGAAAATAACACTGGTAAGGAACCGCCCATGGTGCTATCAGTTGAGATCAGCTGTCCCAAGAGAGGGAAAGGCCCAGCACTACTGGCCCAGGAACCTTACCCAAAGCAGTGTGGGGCAGGTTCAACTCCCTTGCCTAATTGACTGGCTGGGAATTCTCTGCCTTCTTGGAGCTAGAAGGCTGTTCTCCTTGAGTCAGGGTGGAAACCTGACTCATGGACACACAGTTAGCCAGCTTTTATCTTTGAATCTGACTGGAAGTGACTCAGGGGCTGGGGAAAAAAATCCTTTTGTAAACAAATGAGGAGGGTTAAAATAAAGGAGGTTAAGGAACTACTGCCTTTTGTTCTCAGATAAAAATGTAGATCTGCTGTGCCATAAAATGTTGAATATTGTACATTACCTCAGCCTCTTTCCAACCAAACCCAGGGGGGGATTATTAAGCTTGACAATGCACTCATTTTCTCCAAGATTTTTATTAAAAGCAATTTGGAGGGGATAAAGTTTCTTTCTCTTTTCTCTTTCTATTTATTCTAATAAACCCTAATTACCACTAGGGCAGAACAGGATTGGCTTCTAGAAGTCTGCAGCAATGCAGAAGACTTCCCCTTTACATTAACCAAAGTCTCTTGTTCTGACATCAACCAGGGCACTTCCCACTCCACTCAAACCTTGCTCAGTCCAATTCAAATAGCACTTATAGAGGACCTTGTTATGGAGGTCCTGGTACACATACTGTGTGTGGAGAGGGGCAGAGCTCTGCTTTCTGGGAAATCATTCTTGAACTGGACTGAAACATTGTACCACTTAGACTAATAATTGTCACGCTGGGCTTTCTTTTTGGTTGCAAGTAACAAAAGCAAACTAAGTTAAACAATAAGGAGAATTCATTGTAAAAACCACTAGGTTGTCACAAGAAATCTAGGGCAGGCAGGACTGGATCAGGGAGGCAGGAACCAGTGTTGCCAATAACTTTAGACCCCTCTTGCCATCTCAGCTTTGCTCTTCCAGACTATCTCAGGCTGTGACTCTAGCTGTTTCTGACTCAGTCCCTCTCTCTACCTCTCTCTTCATATTGGATTTTCCTTCACAAGATGGTCACATGAAAGGTTCCCAACTTCATATGTTGCAGAGCCCCCCTCATTACTCCGTCCCCCTGCAACTCAGCCCCTAGGGAGAAATTGTCTTTTTTTCATTTCCAGTTTCAAAATTTTCCAAGAAGCCTTCTGATTGGACGTGCCACCTCTTTACTCCAGGACCAATCCCCTGTGGCAAGGTGGGGAAGTGGTTTTTGATTAGGGCTGCGAATGGCCCAGCTTGGGTCAGAGGCACTTTCCCCACCCCTTAACCCCTACCTCGTGGACCAAATGGCTCTTCCGGTAACACTGTGGGTTCGGGTGTGGGTGGATCCCCAGAGGCCGAAGACTCTGCAAAGCCTGGAGGGTAGAGGCAGGACTGAGGTTAGGGAACGAGGGGTCTGGCACGTCTGCTGACTTTAGAAACAACTACAGGGGCTCTGGCCTGACAAATGGAAGGATACTAATGAAGGTGATGGATTTGACAGCTTGAGAAAGGAGGCCTTTACCAAATCTGGATTTCACTTAACTTTCACAACAATTATTGAGGCCTGTTGCTACTCCCATTTCACAGACGCTGCTAGGGAGGTTAAGCACCCTGTGCAGGCTTACACAACTAATAAGCCGCAAAGCAGTATTCCAGTGGCTGCATTTGCAGAGCCTCTGTGCTGTGTGCACCACTCGATGCTCCCACCCACCCAGCTCCGCAGGGAGAAAACGACAGGACTCAGGGGAGGAGCAGCACTTTCAAGTGGAGGTGGGGCGGAGCCCTGCGCTAGGCCTAGACTTCTGGTTGCATTTTTGCAGGCCCGGACCAGAGAAGAAGGGAGCCCCCAGGGGTGGGCTCTTCATCCCCTGAGTACTCCCAGACAAGCAGGGTGGGTGTGCGCTGCAGGCTCCAGAGAGGGGTCCTGGCCCGTTGAGGGGAGGCCACGCCCCAGTTTGGAGCGTTTGCCTCAGGATCCCGGCCTTTAAATGCAATTCCATTTAAGGGCAACCCAGCCTGGTTCACACCTAGCCTTGAAGATGACAGATTGCCCTGTGGTCAATTTGCAGGGTGAGAACGGGAGCCTACGACTCTGCACCTGCACCTCCAGCTCCATAAACGAAGCAAATCATGGCCCATAAAATGTCACCACTGCTGAGGTGCGATTTCCAAGAGGGTCTTGAGTGGGAAATCTAACTGGAAAAGGGACCCTGCGCTGTGCAACCCAAGAGGAGGGCTCACTGTGGGGTCGCGGGAGGGAGCAGGAACAGGGTGGCCTTTCTACCCACTCCTCTAGTGCCTCTGCCCCCCACCCCCGCTTTGTAGCCCCGCGCTGCCACGTGGTAAGAGCTTGGGTGGGGGGCAGGGGGCGGCATCCGTTATTTCTGCCCGAGGAGTTTTTGACCAAACGTAAACATCGGAGAGACCCGAGCCCCACCCGGGCTCCGCGGCAGCGACCTCGACGCCGCGGCGGCCGAGCCTCTGCGCCGCGCGGCTGAGAGCCGCCCCTCCCCCGCCTGGCCCGCGAGCCCATTTTCGCTTGGCCGGTCCCCGCGCTGCCGGATGGATTGCGCCCCACCCCCGCTCCTCTGCTCAGTCATTCAGACTTGGAAAGTCAATAACACGCTGACATCATCAGGGGTTTGTGTATTATTACACGGCTACTTTCCAGAGTACCTGGCATTATCTAAGAGAGGAGCACTCTGGTTGCCCAAGAAAGGGCCCTGAACCCGGAGCTCGGCGGCCTCCGGGAGGGGCGGCTGCTCTGAGCAAGGCCTTTGCAGTAGTGGGGAGCATTTTCAGGGCACCAATTAGAAACAGATTATGAGGTTTTTGTGCTAAATGCAGATGCACTTTAGATATCGATACAAGCTTCACTTTGGCTTGGGGGTGCACTTATAAATCAGCCTTAAGTAACCTCTATTCCTACCCAAAGACATCCACTGGTCTTTAAGAAGCATTTTTAGTGATCTCCACAAAGGAAAAAAAGAAAGGCATCTTCATGACAAGAAGCCAAAGGCTGATTCTTTTGAGACTTAGGGTATGTGTGAGCCATTCTCTATTATGTAATCGCCATCACGGGTGATTAGGTCTCTTTCCCTCCAAGGCTGAACTGGATGGTTTGGTTGCTGTTTTTTTTTTTTTTTTTTTTTTCTTTAAGCCTCATGCAGGGCAAACACACACATAAAAACATGTCCCAGATTTATGGTGCAAAACTGCTCTCCAAGCAAATTGCCTTAGAAGAGTGTCTCCTTTTCGTAGGAGGGAAATAGATGGATTTGTTGTTAATTAAGACTCCTTTATCTTACTACTCTGGCATTTCCTTTTCCTAGAATGAGTTTTTTAAAATAATTTTATGTATTTTGATGCTCTCCCTTCCCCTTGCTGTAATGGTACTTGAAATAGCTTAAGTAACTAATTAAGGGTATAGGTTACTGTATTTTTGTTCTGTTAACACACACGTTAAAAAACATAAAACTCACATTACTCATACAAACATGGTACCTTTTCTGTTTGGCCAAACAGGCTGTTCCTTTCTTGACACACACAAGGATGATCTCATTTAAATTCTCTTGGTATCTTGAATTACAGAAAATGGCAGCCAGCCCAAACCTGGTGACCTGGAGAACTGCAAGGGGAGAGCTGATCCTCACTGACCTCTTCTCCCTCTACCTGGGGCAGGAAGTGATGGCTGATTGATATAGAAGTCTTTAGAGCTCCCCAGGAGGAAGCAAAGCAGACATGTTTCTCAACAATGTAACAATTTTCCTCTGTGTACTCAATCATTTGTAGTAGATTATGACTACTTCCCTCCCGATGGTCTGGAGGAGAAACTTTCCCACCAGGCTTACACTTCAAAAATCACTTCCCCAGGCCTTCCCCCACCCCAACCCCTTGGAGAAATTTCCCCTCTGGGTAGGTACACACAGCTGGGGAGGCTGGTGCACCAGCCCTCCAAGATGGCTCAGTGTGTGTTCAGTCTGTGAAGGCACTGAAGGGGGAATGGAGGGGGAGTAGGTTGGGGCCCTTACCCCAGCCTTAGATGATACTTCAGGGGGTTTCCCTCAGCTCATTAGAGAGGAGTAAGCAGACCTGAGAGTCTGTCTCTTTGGTTCCCAAGATAAAGAGGCTCTTAAGCCTCAAAGCACTTCTGTTTTCCTAGCCTGGCTGACCCTCCGGCCTTTGTTTAAGCCCCTCCTGAACATAGCTGCCCAACTAGGGCTTCTTGCTTGGTGAGAGCTTTGGCCACCTTCTTCTGGGTGCTGAGCTTTGATTCCTGGCAACAATTTCTATCCTGGAGTTTCTGTCTAAGCAGGGGAAAAGAAGAGGTAGAGGTTGGCTTGGGTAGAGCCTCTAGAATTTAAAAAAGTTGGTTGCTAGGTATTGAAGCTCAGCACCCAGAGTTCCTGGCTGACACCTTTGCCCTATACTAAGTGGGAGGAGAAGATTCAGTGGAAAGGAGCCCTGTTGTAGAGGTGGGGAAGCCAGAGTGCAGACCTTGGAAGAGCTCACTGTTAGAATGGGTAGACACATAAACAGCTGGAGAGCATGCCCTCTGCCCCTTGGCAAGGGCCTCATGGGGGTGGGTCTTCCTGTGCAGGTGGAGGGAGGAGAATCTCTAAGTGACCTACAGTGTTAGGTCGCTCCTCCCACTGCTGGCCCTGGAGGAATTTTCGTGACCTGATGGGCCCACAGTAATCCTGCAGCAGTGATACTGATATTTCTCCCATTCCTCTGGGGGAAGTGAAGTCACCTTCTGGGCCTTTACTGCCAAATATATGTCAGCTGGTTAGAACTGAGTAGATCTGGGTGCAATTCAGATGCATAGGCTTATCTTTTTTAGGTGGCCCACGTGAAGATTCTAGAGATTAACATTCAAGTTATCAAGCCTTAATCTTAGTTTAGAAAGATAGCATCTTCAAATAGGCCTTTGCTTTGCTGAAGACAATAGCAAAGCTGCTTTTCCTCTTGAGATGGAGTTTCACTGTGCCACCTGGGCTAGCCTCACGCTCCTGAGCTCCAGTAATCTCCCACCTCAGAGTCCCAAGTAGCTGGGACTATAGGCATGTGCCACTGTGCCTGGCTCTGTGACATTGCTTTTTGAAATTATCTGTGGGTATGATTTTCAAGGCATTGCCCACTGATATTTTTTGTGTATAAAAAATTAGAGAAATAAATTAAAAAACATATACAAGATACAAACCAATTTTTTTATTATTAGATTCAGCAAATTAGATTCAGAAAATTACTCTGTCAAACAGTTATGGATCTTTCTAAACGTTATTCTCAGTTGCTATGCACATTTTGTTGTGGAATGTAACAAATAGTTTTGAACCTGTGACTTTACTTGAGAAGCACTGGTACAGACTGTAAACTGGAGTTTTAAGGGCTGAATTTAGCTCTCATTTGTGTTTAGGTTGACCTGATCTGTTTTTTAAAAATTGGATTAAAAATCCAGAGGTTTCACAAAAAAGAAAAAAAAATCCAGCTTTTTCTGAAAAGTAAAAAGCTTCAAACAATGCAAGCCACATCTACAACTGGGAGGAACTGAAAAGTAGCTACCCTTTTAAGCTTAGCTTTCAGCCTTCTATGGGCCCCAGATTCCACCTCTTCCTCTTTTCTTATTCCTAAGCAGGCTCACTCATTTGAAACCAATGCTTCGCTGTAAAAGGTGTTTAAATCTGTGTATTCCTATGCAGAATATTCCTTACAGTGAACTTTTAGGTCATTTTCTTAGCCTTTCCAGAGGGAAAATTCACTCTCCAAAGGTCCATGGAACCTCTCCAGGGCTGTGTGGCTCTGAGACCAGAGGCTGAGGTGTTAGCACAGAGTTGTTGTCACTCATTGGGTGCCCTCAAAACTCTCTAGATGAGTGGATCCTGCATTTCAAATCTCTATGGGTATTTGTGTGTGTGTGTGTAAATTTGCATCTTTAGGTGCACGTAAGATGTTATTTTGATGAATATTAAAATTCATTTAATAATATCTAAGTGTTACTGAATGCCTACCAGTTTTTTGTAACTTGGTTCTCTCTCCTCTCTGTCAGTAGATATACAAAATAAAACTACCACTGCCTTAAAATAACATTTATGTGATGGATTCCTTATGAAACAGCGAGGGGACTGCTATTCTATAATAGTTGTCATCTTCAAACTCTTTGGTGCATGTAACCTCTGGAAGAATCTTGAAAAACAATGTATCCTAAGCTCTTTTTAGAAATGACAGCTACAGTTTGGCATCATAAGTGGAAGTTGTTGCAAAGGATATAATATCCAGTGTATTGCAAAAATTGATATTTTAGAATAAAACTGTTACATCACTTTTTAAAATGTATCTAATGGGATCCAAATGCTACAGCAATCGGATACCCATCATCATTCACTTAAAAAATTCATGAACAAGCTCTTCTTGAACACTGGCAGGTTTTACATCATCTTTTCTCCTTGAATTTATGTAGCTTTACTTATGTCTCATCAAGAAAATAAGTATACATTTTAATTTAAAAATTATGTAGGATTATATGGCTGTTAGCATTATCTTTTATTGAAAGCATATATCTTAATGAGGTGAATATGGCCTTTCTTCTAATTAGCTTATGCACCCATGGGTGACTATGCAACTGTTACCTGGATGAGACAGGTTGGCATTATTTCTGTTTCTTCATTTTTTTTTGTTCACACATGCAAACGTGTGTACACCACACACACACACACACACACACACACATATACATATATACACATAAGAAACGTTATTCCATAAATAGGTGATGGCAGTAATTTTTAATAGCAATATTATCGCCCAATTCTTCAAACTCCTTCTGAAACATATACCAAAGTCTATGGCTTGCTGAAAATCCATTGTGTTTAGAGTTTACTTCATTCAATCTTGAGGAAAGCAAAGACTAGGAAACCATCTGTTTAGTGAAAGTATTTATGTCAAGTTTTTAGAGTTCTTTGCTTTCTTAGCCCTTAGTCTAAGACTTGATTCATGTATTAGTGGGGCCCTGTAGGTGCTCAGAACTGGAGCTATGCACTGCAGTAAGATTTGGAATGGGCATGGGCTGGGGTTGTGGCTCAGTGGTAGATCGCTTGCCTAGCATGAGCAAGGCACTGGGTCTATCCCCAGCACCACATAGAAAAAAAATAAATAAATAAACAAAATAAAGGTATTATGTCCATCTACAACTTAAAAAAAAAGATTTGAAATGGGCATACTTTATATGCATTTCTTCAGTGTAGAGGTAGACAAGATACTGAGGTTACCTTAACATAGAGCTCTTTCTCAGATCGGTAGACCTTACAGAAGTCAAATCTGACTCCCTTAAAACTAGCCTTTTCTGGGCCCTTCTTGGAAGGTCTTAATGGATCCACAGGGTGTATGTGTACCAGACTGAAGACAGCTGCCCCAGAAAAAGTTTGGCCTGGGTTCTTGCAGAAAAATACCGGGAGGTCTACATGGCCAATGATTATACTAACAACTTGTTGATTATATTTGACTTGTAGACCTAGGTGTATTTGGGGGCCCATTTTGTGAGAGCTCCCTGTCTGGTCTCCACTAAGAGAAACTATGAAGCAGGATTGTTGACTGGTAGTCTCTGGCTTCTTGGGAAGCTGCTCTTAGTGGGTAGGTAGACTAGCTACCTGCACCATGGGCTGTTCACACAGTTGTAACTCAGCTCAGAATATCATTAGCTTGACTCTTCCTTTTTCTCAGGGACTCTAGGGACAATCTGGGGTCATGGTTGTACTGTTCTCCACCCCACCCTTACACCTTAACTATAGACTGCTATAACAATTCCTGTTCCTTCCTAGAGATGGTCAGCTGCCCCAATCCCTTTCCTGATTGTACAAACCATCTTCTGGGTTTGTTGTTGCTGTTTTCAAGAAAATACCTCTAAGTATTTCTAGAGAAAATAGCTGATAATATTTAAACAGTGCCCTTGTATTCTCTACTTCCCTTATCTTTTTAGTTTTGAAGCTTTACAAGAATTTTATATGTGAGCTAAACTTGGCTTCTAGGGGTAAGTCAGTCTTCCCTACTTTTGGCCATTGAGTTTATTTATGAGAATATTGAGGGCCTCAAGAAGTCAGCTCCATTCTGGAGACCCTATTCTAGAGACAGCTACATTCTGGATTTGGGTCCATTATAGGGAACCCCTCAGAAATTCAGTTTAGAACACTTAAAATAATTTTAAATGGAATTTAACCTCCTTCAGGCCTGTTGGAATAGTTTGGATTTGGAATTATATTGGATTTTTCTTTTCTTTTTTTTTGGGGGGGTGGGGTGGGTGGGGGTACCAGGGATTGGATTTAGGAGCACTTAACAACTGAGCCACATCCACAGCTCTATTTTGTGTTTTATTTAGAGTCAGGGTCTCACTGAGTTGCTTAGCACCTCGATTTTGCTGATGCTGGCTTTGAACTCACAGTCCTCCTGTCTCAGCCTCCCTAGCTGCTGGGATTGCAGGCATATGCCACTGTGCCCTGCTATACTGGATTTTTCTTAATTTTTTAAAAATTTGTTTTAATTAGTCATACAGGACAGTAGAATGCATTTATGTACTTTGATATATCATACATAGATGGAATATAATTTCTCATTTTTCTGAGTGTAAATGTTGTAGAATCATATTGGTCATGTAGTCATATATATATATATATATATATATATATAATCTATACATATAAATGTATATATATACACATACAAATGTGTGTGTGTATATATGTATATATATATATATGTATATATATACATATATATGTATATATGTATATATATATATGAGATGTCTGTTTTGTTCTACTATCTTTGTTATTCCCACATCTCCTCCCCTCCCTCCCTTTACTTTCCTCTACGTAATCTATGATAATGCTATTCTTCTCTAGCGCCTGCCCACCTTATTTTGAGTTAGCATCCACATATTAGAGAAAACAAAACATTCGGCCTTTGGTTTTTTGGGATTGGCTTATTTTGCTTGGCATGATATTCTCCAGCTCTATCCATTTACTGGTAAATGCCCTAATTTCATTCTTCTTTAAAGTTGAGTAATGTTCCATTGAATATATATACCACCACATTTTCTTTATCCATTCATCTATTGAAGGACAACTAGGTTGGTTCCACAGTTTAGCTATTGTGAATTGAGCTGCTACAAACATTGATATGGTGCATTACTGTAGTGTGCTGATTTTAAGTCCTTTGGGCATAAACCAAGGAGTGGGATAGCTGGGTCAAATGTTGGTTCCATTCTAAGTTTTCTGAGGAATCTCCATACTGTTTTCCATAGTGGTTGTACCATTTTGCAGTTCCATCAGCAATGTATGATTGTACCTTTTCCCCCACATACTCACCAACATTTACTTTTGCCTGTATTCTTGATGATTGCCATTCTGACAGGAGTGAGATGAAATCTCAGTGCAGTTTTAATTTGCATTTCTCTAATTGCTAGTGACGTTGAAGATTTTTTTAATATATTTTTTGATTGATTATATTTCTTCTTCTGTGAAATGTCTGATCAGTTCTTTAGCCCATTTATTGATTGGGTAATTTGTTTTTTTGGTGTTAAGTTTTTTGAGTTTTAGAGATTAATGCCTTATTGGAGGTGCATGTGGTAAAGATTTTCTCCCAATCTGTAGACTCTCTCCTCACATTATTGATTGTTTCCTTTGTGGAGAAGAAGCTTTTTAATTTGAATCCATACCATTTATTGATTCTTGATTTTACTTCTTGTGCTTTAGGAGTCTTGTTAAGGAAGTCAGATCCTAAGCCGAAATGGTGAAGATTTGGGCCTATTTTTACTTCTATTAGGCGCAGAATCTCTGTTTTAGTGCCTAAATCTTTGATCCACTTTGAGTTGATTTTTGTGCAAGGTGAGAGACAGAGGTTTAATTTCATTTTGCTACATATGGATTTTCAGTTTTGCTAGCAACATTTGTTGAATAGGCTATCTTTTCTCCAGTGAATGCTTTTGACATCTTTGTCTTATATGACACAACCATATTTATGTGGGTTTGTCTCTGTGTCCTCTATTCTGTACCATTGGTCTACAAGTCTATTTTGGTGCCAATACCATGCCATTTTTGTTACTATAGCTTTGTAGTATTTTAAGGTCTGGTATTATGATGCCTCCTGCTTCACGTTTCTTGCTAAGGATGGCTTTAGCTATTCTGAGTCTCTTATTTTTCCAAATAAATTTTATGATTGCCTTTTCTATTTCTATGAAGAATGTCATTGGGATTTTAATAGGAATTGCATTAAATCTGTGTAACAGTTTTGGTAGTATGGCCATTTTGACAAAATTAACTCTGCCTATCCAGGAGCATGGAAGATCTTTCATCTTCTGAGGTTTTCTTCAATTTCTTTCTTTAGTGTTCTGTAGTTTTCATTATAGAGGTCTTTTACCTCTTTTGTTAGATTGATTTCCAGGTTTTTTTTTTTTTTTTTTTTTTGAGGCTACTGTGAATGGGGGAGTTTTCCTAATTTCTCTTTCAGTGGATTCATTGCTGATATATAGGAATGTGTTTGATTTCTGGGTGTTGATTTTATACTCTGCTACTTTGCTGAATTTATTTATTAGTTCTAGAAGTCTTCTGGTGGAATTTTTTGAATCTTCTAGATATAAAATCACCAGCAAATAATGATCGTTTGAGTTCTTCTTTACCTGTTTATATCCCTTTAAATTCTTTTTTCTAATTGCTCTGGCTGGAGTTTCAAGGAAGATGTTGAATAGAAGTGGTGAAAGAGCACATCCTTGTCTTGTTCCAGTTTTTAGAGGGAATGCTTTTAATTTTTCTCCATTTAGAACGATAATGGTTTAGCATATATAGCTTTTACAATGCTGAAGTATGGTCCTATTATCCCTAGTTTTTCTAGTGTTTTGAACATGAAGCTGTGCTATATTTTGTCAAACTCTTTTTCTGCATCTATTGAGATGATCATATGATTCTTGCTTTTAAGTCTATTAATATGATGAATTACGTTTGTTGATTTCCATATGTTAAACCAACCCTGCATCCCTGGGATGAACCCCACTTGATCATAGTGAACTATCTT